AAACGAAAAATCCATATTTTCCAAATTCATATGCAATTTAAACCTTATAATTTTAATAACTTTATTTTTTTTTTCGATTACTTGCTGACGACTCAACTCAACAGCCAAATAACAAGTAAGAGGTTCTAGTCGGGAGCTCCCAACCTATATATACCCTGAGCCCTTTTATACCAACACCAAATGCAGCTGGCGCTACTTGCTCGTTTGTAGCAATAAAGATATATTACAGAAAAATGTTCCCTTGGGAGGGCTTGAAATCGAAACTAACCACACTACTTGCCGCCGTTTCTGCTTAACCATTATTAAGTCTTGTTGCGATTGCTATAAAATATTAGTAAAGAAAGCAATACAATCGCAATTGTAGAGCTGTTTATATAATTCGAAGCAGACGCGCATGCATGTGTGTGGGTACATATACAGTATACAGAAATTCTTCAAACTGCGCTAGCTGTAAACACGTGTTTAATTTACCGATCTTAATTAAATTTTCTATGGTATATCTAATTGTACCGTAGAAATGTTGTGTATACTCAAAAAGTTAAATGCATTTAAATTGTGGTTTTAATTGTTAGTCAATACAAATAGGTATAAAAGCAAGATACTTGATATATGTATGTACATATATAATATTCCAGAATATTGCTTGAAAACGAAGTGAGTTATAGATTATCGGAAACAAACTCGATCTGCGCAAATATAGGAGGACCTATACTTAAAATTTCAAGTCTCTAACTCTTATAGGTTCTCATATCCTTAAATTCATACATATGGGTAGACAGATAGACAGACAGATGGGATATATGTATGTACATACAGTATGTCAATAAAGTGTTTTGACTAACGAAAAAAAACTAATTTTTTGGGTTTAGTTGAAAATAAATGTACCTAAAAGTGAGAATTTTTTTTCAATTCTAATTTATTTCGATTCTATATTTTTCCTAGAACTTAATGGCAAAAAGAATTGTTAAATAACATTACCCAAACATTTTATAAAATTAAAAAACTAAAAACATTCAAATTTTATGCTGTCAATAAAGTGTTTTTACACGAAACTTTATTACTAAATAACAATGTTAAAAAAACAGGAATATTTTTTTTTAATACTTTGTGTGGCTGCCATTAGCGTCACATACAGCCTGCAATCGCCGTTTCATTGAAACAATAAGGTTTTGTATGTATGTTTCTGGAATCTTCTGCCATTCTTCCAGTACAGCAGCTTTTAAATCAGTTTTTGATTTTGGACTCCGCTTTGCGACTTTTTTTTTCAAATATGACCACACATTTTCTATTGGATTCATATCTGGACTTTGTGGTGGAGTGTCTAACACCTTTCCACAGTTGTACAACAGCCAAACTCTTACCATATGAGCTTTATGCTTCGGGTCATTGTCCTGGTAAAATTTAAAAATTGGCTTATTGTCCTCATAGAATCCAAATTTCTGTGCACTACTGACGAGATGTGTCTGTAAAATGCTCAGATATTGTCTAGCATCCATGGTATTCTCAATGAAGGTCAAATCTCCTACACCCTTGCTCGAAATACACCCCCACACCATCACTGATAGTTTTCCGAATTTAACGGTTGGAATAATATTGCGGTTTTCCAACGCTGTTAGTGGCTTTCTCCAGACTCTGGATGGCCCATCGTTGTAGAATAGCATCATCTTGCTTTCGTCACAGAATATGACGTTACTCCAAAAATCGTTCGAACTATTTACATGGACTTGAGCGAACGATAGCCGCTTCAAAATATTCGCCGCCGATAGTAGAGGTTTTTTCCTGGCAACTCGTGATGTGTAGTCATTGGAATTCAGTAATTTTCGGACAGTTTCATGTGACACATCAACACCACTTTCTTCCTTGAACTCCTGAGCAATATCCCTAAGCGAAATTTGTGGATTTTTCTCAATTTTTCTCAGAATTTTTCGCTTATCTCTGTCAGAAATTTTGCAGGGTCGACCACATACTGGCTTTGCCTCTAGCCTATCTTCCTTATTGGCTCTGTTTAATATGTTGTATATCGTTGCTTTTGATAAATTAAACATATCAGCCAGTTCCGAGACTTGACGTCCCATCTGATGGTTATAATACACCAGCTGAGCGACTTCAAAAGTTGTTCTTTTTCCTGGCATTTTATTTTTCATAAAATTAAAGCAAAACGTTATAAATTGCAATAGAAAATGACAAGAAAAGTCGAAGACACAAGAGAAGCCAAAACGCATGGGCCCAAATCTAACGGGATCACCCAAAAGAGAACGGCAAAACAATTTACCGTAGCTGTAAAAACACTTTATTGACAGCATAAAATGTGAATGTTTTTAGTTTTTTAATTTTATAAAATGTTTGGGTAATGTTATTTAACAATTCTTTTTGCCATTAAGTTCTAGGAGAAATATAGAATCGAAATAAATTATAATTGAAAAAAAATTCTCACTTTTAGGTACATTTATTTTCAACTAAACCCAAAAAATTAGTTTTTTTTTGTTAGTAAAAACACTTTATTGACATACTGTATATACTATTGTGGGTCGGAGATGCTTCCTTCTGGTTTTTATATACATACATAAATTTACATTTTGCACAAATACAGTATACCCTTTTTAGCAATTTTTAATGGGTTCAGGGCATAAAAATATAAAAGTTATGTTTCATACCAAGGATTATCAACCTTTCTAACAATGTTCCATCGAACTCGGTACTAATGTGGCATTGTGTATGCACATATGTACACACATACATACATATGTATTTATATTCTGAAGTACATACATATGTATGTATATACATATTTTATTATTTTCATATTTTAACTATCCAATTATTTTTTACATCCCTAGCATATATACATACATATGTATGTATGTTGTATGTACATAGACTAAATACATTTCTTTATTTATGTATTTAAATATGTATGTACATAACAACTATAATTTACAGAATTTTACTTACGTCTCAATTATTTGAATATCTTGGAATTTCGACTTTTCTTTGTGAAGAACATTTTGCACTTTTAAAGAAAATGATTGTCCAGGCCATAATTCATTTTGGATTTCACTGAACCAGCCCGTTAGAACTTTATCCATTTAGTTAATAATTTGAAAGAAAAAATTTAAGCTCAAATATAAATAAGCCCCAGGCCACAAGTGTGTTCAATCTGGGATTAAAGTAAAGTAAACACGTGGTCACGGGAAAAAGTAACCATATTTTAATGTACCCACATGATTTGCCAATTGGAATTAATAACAACAAGTAAGAGGTTCTAGTCGGGAGCTCCCGACTAGGGAATACCCTGAACCCTCTTATACCAACACCGAATTCAGATCACTATTCGCGCTCGTTTTAGATGAATTAAAGTAACAAAGTTCCCTTTGCAGGGTACGAACTCGCAACTAACCGTATTACTTGCTGATGACCAAAATAATGCTGAGCCAAAATAAAAAATTGTTTTCTCGGTAAGGCTCGAACTCGCAATAGACCGCACTGTTTGCCACCGCCTCTTCTCATAGAATTAGAAGCAGACGAGCATGAATGTGTGTGTGTATATACATACATACATGGACACAGAAATTCTTGGAATTTGTGCTAGCTGCCGCAAACACGTGTTTCTTAACCAGGTCGGTAATGGAATTTCCTACACATATTAAATTGTACCATAGAATATATATGTATTCTCAAAAAGTTAATTCCATTAAATTTGTGGCTTAAATTAGTGGGCAATACAAGTTCGCTTATTAAGTTTTTTTATTGCTATGAGGTAGTAGCAGGGAGGTGGCGATAGGAAAAAAATGAAAGATACTGGAAATATATATAATATTCTAGAAGCAACATATCAATTTTGATGACTCTAGCTTCTAATACATATTTACCCCATTTGCTCAAAATAGAATATTAATATCGAACTTTGGAAACGCAGTAAGTTATCGATTATCGGAAACAAACTCGATATGCGCAGCCACTACGAGGACCTACATCTAAAATTTCAAGTCTCTAGCTCTTATAGGTTCTAAGATCCTTGCGTTCATACATACGGACAGACATACAGACGGATATACATATGTAGCTAGATTTACTTTGCTATTGATGCTGATCAAGAATATACATATGTATATACTTTATGGGGTCGGAGATGCTTTTTTCTGCCTGTTGCATACATTTCATATTGCACATATTCAATATACCCTTATACCCATTTTTAATGGGTTCAGGGTATAAAAATATAAATGAATCTTATTGCAAATACATACCCATTAATTAAATTACACAATTAACAAAAGACGCGCGCGCCCTTCATTGACCTTGTTTCCTACACAGTTCTTGACTGCAAAATATAGGGAACTTGGCTATTTTTATTGTTCGCGATCAAATTTTTAAGACGAAGCACAGACCTCGTAATTAGAAAAACAGTTCTTTAACATTTTCGTTTTGATCGGCACGCATTGCAAGTCCATTCGCTAACGAATTTCTTAATGACCAGTAATGCATAAGATGGTTAGTAGTCACCTTATTCTGGTGACCATCGCATGACCGTTCGTTGGCGAATTAGATTGTTGCATTTCCGTATCGTTCTTTATTATCGGCCTCGGCGATTTCTTTGGTGATTGGGGCTGAGTATCGGGGTGAAGCCGGACACACAAGGGCGCTTAAAATATCGAGGAGTGGCAACACCGAACTTGCGATCCACGACGCCCAAAGAGGCCAAATTGGCTGCCCGATTCGCTCCCAAAGAGATAAAAGAGAGAGTGGATCGCATGCCATTGGCCGTGTTTCGAGCCCTTGAGCAGCTGTGCCGATGAGCAGCAACGGTAACCATATTTAAATGTACGCGGGTACCGAATTACGGCACCTTTGATGTGCTGCCCAATGTACAGTGAAGAGGGTTCGACTTTGTCAGCGGTTGACAGCGGAAATATCGGCTTACAGTTAAAAAAATTTTGAAGTTGGATATTTTTTTTTGCCGGCCACGGAACATGTGCTTAAAAAAATCAAAGGGCATACAGTTGTTCATGACGGGCTTTCTTTATTAGTTAATTGCCAAGATAATTCCTTATGTGCTAACGTATTGCAAAAGAAATGGTGCACAAGAGCGTTAACACACGAAACAATAATACACCAGAAACACACTGTCGTCATTTAAAACAACTATAAAAGCGATACTTTATTAGAGCAGCCGCAGCCATTCAGTGGCACACAACGCTTGAATCCCGACCCGGAGGACGTTGGCCAGATCAACCCAGATATTCTCGGGCCGTATTTTCAAAGCACGGCCAAGTATCGGCGTAATCCACACGACGGAGAGACGATCCATCACGGACGGGACTCACACGACGAAGAGGCGGCCACGGGCGAGACCACGCCCATATCGTCCGAGTTAGTCTGTTCCAGTTCGTGCCTCCTCGCCTGAGTAAACGGTAGAGTCAGACGCAGACTCCTCATTGTCGTTTTTTTATGTCTCCTGCTCTGTATGAAGGTCGCCAACAAAAATGTATGATGTACAAAAAAAAAAAAATTTTAATAGTTTTTAGATTAACAGAAATTCTTATAAATATGAAATGAAGCAACTCGTTATAGATAACTGTTGAAGCGAAGTTGAAGGAAGTAAAAAAATTGAAATTTAAAATTAATATCTTCTTAATATAAAAATATACCAACTTATCGTATCCACCTGATTTAAAATGCCGGAAATGTTCGCGTGTACGAAATTATCAATAGCAGCTTGAAGATAACCTGCAGGGGAATAGAAATAAGATTAAATGTTAATAACGATCAGAAATGCTACCAATTATACTGTATCTGAAGAGAGAAATGTCCGGCTAAATTTTTCTTGATGGGGAGAGTTGACATAACAGCCGGCATAGGCCGATGGCCATCTAATCTAGGTGATCTTCTCATGGTTGGGCGGTCCGGAACCGGGGCCCGATCTGGAAGAGTGAAGTGGATTAATAATGTTTTTGTTAGTTTATATCAACATCTCATCTTTGTTGTTTACATTTACTTATCGTCACAGCTGTTTACGTTGTTCATCTGTTAGAAGTTCCGATTGTTTGATGTTATCGATTTTTGGTTCGTTTTGCATAGTGTTGTGTAAGTCTGTTTTGCTATAGACGTGTAGCTTCGTTGTTATCGATTGTGCGGACTGCGGGCCTGGGATGGGACTGCACCCACAGAAACCGATGAGCCAGCCGGCGCGGCCCACCGAGAAACAAGCAGTTTCGTAACAATACAGCGCCCAATTTTTAAAAACGCACTCGGCTTCTTTGAAGTCGGTGCGTACGTCAAAAATAAAAATAATAAGATATTAATGAAGGTACAGAGAAAAGGACTCCGTTGGGTTTAGGATCCCTATCGCTGAAGTCTTATGTGGCTCATAATCGCTTGGTGGGTCGTGGAATCCGAGAAGCACGACGGAAGTAGACATTATCAGAATATCCATAAGAATGAGAATTTTTTCTTGTAGTGGTTGATGGCGGTAAGGCACGTTCGCATGTGGGTGAAACGTTCGCGACCGGTCATCATTCGCCTGGTGGTAGCCGCAATGACAAAGGCATCTCGTGATAAGAATGTGATATTACGTAGTTTGTCAGTTGTTATTTATTCATTATTAGTTTTGTTGGTCTCATTCTGTGTTAATGCTGGGAGTGTGAATGACCGTGGTTACAAGAGCTTAGGAGCCAGGTGACCCAGGACGATGTAGAATCGAGCCTGCGCCGCATCTGCCACACAGCATATCCCAAAAATGGCCGGAAGAGCAACGGGGACTGAGCTTGCCATAGTGTCCATTAACAGGGGGATTTCTTGTCGCGGTTGAGGACAGTACGTCACGTTGGCTGCTGGCGAAGCGTTTGCGACTGTTCATCATTCGCCTGGTGGTAGCCGCTATAAAAAATATCCTGTGATGAAATGGGTATTAGGGTAGGGTCGGTTGGAGCTTGTTTATAGTTTACTATTTATTTTGTCTCACTCTGGGTATACGTTTGCTGTATGCTGGCCGTAGTTATATGAGCTTCGGACCTAGGTTACCCAGGACGATGTACAATCTAGCTTGCGCCGCACCTGTCACACAGCATGTCCTGGAGTTTTCTAGAACTGCGACAGGAACATAATAGCCTTCAAGGTAGCGTTCCTAGAATGCCGTTCTTCAGTTAAACTGACGAACTGAGCATTTGACGAATGCCTAAGTGTTTTCCACTGTCCAGTGCGTAGATAAGTTAGCCTGTGATAGGATTTGTTGTCTCTCCCCTCCAAGTATTTGAAATTTATTGAAAAAAAGGGGGAACCCTTATCGTACATATTTTTGTTGTTGTTATTTATTTGATTATTTATTTATTTTTCATTATTAGTAAGGTTTGTTAGTGGGCGTTTAGTTATTTATTTACTGATAATTATTCCTATTGATGAAGTTTTTTTTTTGGTATCAGGGCTCAGTATGGCTGAGGAACATGTGTCTGATTGGGGCTCTGAAGCTGACGGAGCGTCAGCAATGCCACCGCTACGTCCGACGGGAGGTCTTGTGAGAACGCCGATGAATTTCCGAGGATTTGCTGAAAGACAGATCCCGGCGGAAGGTCATCTTGGAAACTTGGAGAAGGAATTGGCGCAACAAGACAGAACTCCACGGGACGTTGCGACGAAGTTTTCGCGGTCTGGCGTGCCGGAAGGCGTACACCACCGGTGGCACCGAAGCCACACAGACAGGGCGCGCGAGGAGCGGAGTAATCATCCAGCAGTCCTGTATATGTTGCCGAGGCTCATGCGAGGAACTGGCGGAATCCGAAGAGAGCGGATGACTTTCAGCCAGAGGAAGCGTATGCCAACGTGCGAGAAGCGGCGTACCTGATGCTCGAGCGGTGGAACGTCAGGTTTGATGGCGAGGACGTCATGAATTCTGTTATAGACTTCGTGTTTTGGCTGGAGTTCCTGCAGAGGCAATATCAATGCCCTTGGAAGAAGTTCCTGCGCGGTTTTCATCTGCTCCTGACCGGCCGTGCCCGCGAGTGGTACTGGATGCACGTGCGGCATTCTAGGGTCGATAGCTGGATGCAACTGCGGCACACTCTTTTAGACCGGTTCCGTGGATATCAGACGGAACACGACGTGATGCAGGAGCTACTACTACGGGAGCAACAGACCAGCGAAGGGGTGGACGACCATATTCACCACATGCGTCAACTCGCCGCGTGAATCTCGAAGGCGCTGAGAGACCGCGAACTGGTAAAGATTATAAAGCAAGGCTTGAAGGGGGGTCTGGCAAAATACATTTATGCCATGGATGTACTAACCGTGGACGAGCTGCGCCAAGAATGCATACAAGTGGAAAGGCACATTGGTCGCAAAAGCCGGACCGGGTACGTGCAGCCATCGCGTTACTCCAAGGAACGAGGCCCACAGTTCACGAGGTTGAAGTGCCACCAGATCGTACGGAACCATCGCCTAGAGAACTGGAGAAGGCAGTCGTGCGAGGCAGTGTGCTGGAACTGTAGGCAGTTCGATCATGTCTTTAGGGACTGCCTCTCTAAGGATCGTAAGATTTTCTGCTACAGATGCGGAAAGCCGGACACATTCTGTGCACAATGCGAAAAAACTGGTTTGTCGGTTCGGAACTGTTGATACTCAATATCTGATGTTGTTGCCTGATCATCTTTAAAAAAAGTAGGCATCATCAATAAAAAGTTTTCGGTTACTGTTTTGCGTGTATGTGCTAGTGTGTGATGGACACTAATTAGGAATCCTTATTTTAAATTACTTATTTTCGTATATTATATTTTTATTTTTATTCAAATTTTAAAGTTAAGTAAAATGTCCAGGACAAGGGCTATCAGATCTTAATAGGTCTCAGAGACAAAAAGCTAGAAATCGGTAATTATCTTAGCCCAAGTGAGACAAATAGGAATAGGTAACGAAAGACAAGATAGTTAATATGGTAAATGAACACATACTAAATACTGCGGACCACTTGACTCGACATAGTCGAAAAAACATAGATCTACAACTTTAAAATAAGCCAGAGATTGGAATGAACGGTCACAGGTAAGAGAAAATTCGATCCGATGAAAAATTAGTCAAGCACGTAAAACATTTGCAAGCCGAAGTGCGTAAATTCAAGCGCGACAATCATCTTTTGATGCCAATAGAAGTTTGCAGCATCAGCCGTTTTAGGAGCCATATTGGTAATATCAGAGAATAGGCACAATGCGGCCAGATCAGATCACCTTTGCATTTCTTTTAAAGGTTTATTGTTTCTACATTAAGTGGACAAATTTTCTAGTGAGTATTGTAATAAGTTCAAATTCAGATATTTTGTATCTGTCTATCTTCTATATTTCCCTCTGTCAATAATAAATATAGTTTTTGCAAAACGTCATGTCATAGCATTACATTAGTTTAAAGCCATAATGCTTCTAAATCAAATGGCTTAAAATTGTGAAGGGCTTAAGTCCTTTAGAGGAGAGGTATATTTCCCCACGTCTTCCCCTCATGGTTATTAAGTCTTTAGAGGTTGGCCGACAAAATCATTAAAGGTAACGATGGTCATTGAATCAATTTCATGGCTGAAACTATTCAGCCCTCTTAATTTTCTGATGCAATAAAATTTACAATTGCTGCCATCGAACATTGGTTTTCCTTCTTTTCTTTTGAAGAAGCGCCATTTGTTGCATCTGCCGACGACAGGGGATAATTAAAATTGCATTCATTTATATTACTCTAGGACATTGTTAAAAAATGTCCCTGGCACTCCGAACTGTTTTTGCTGGCCTTAACAGAACGTGTACTTAAAGTTGTACAATAAAAGTTAGATCATAACTTAGATACCTTGTTTGCGTAAGCCCGGCGCCACACGAGTCATTACGGCAGCTAAACGTTTTATTGAGGATCATATTAAAATTTTCATACGTCACGATACAGGGATTTAAAAAGTATTAGCACTTCACTTGCTCATCGGGAAGCAGAAAAGAAAAAGGCCATGGCAGATTGTCTTTGCGAACTTTTTTATAGACTTTCGCTAGTTTTAGCTGTTAGTTTTACTTTCTAAGAATGAAAATCCGTTAAAAATTTCCGGTGAATAAGCAGCAAATTAAAATTTAAAAAACATAGAGTGTCTAACTAGAGCTAACCTTATTACTTTTGCTAGGTAATTTTGATTTTAACCGTTCGAAAGGCGATGTTTCTGGTAGTCATTTTGGCGTGTTTAGTTTCTAAAAATTGCCTTCCCTCACATTCATGGCATGTTCTGGCTGAAAGATGCCCCGGAAGTGAAGTCTTGATTAGTTTATCGCAACTGAAACAATTATTTTGGACGTGGCTTCATTTTTTGAGTATCAAACTCATAATTTCGAGCTCTCATGTAGGCGAGAAGTTAGGCCACACAAATGTAGTTTTGGTGTTCCATACTCGCCCATGCCCAAAACAGTAATTCCATTCCCATTAAGCTTCTGTACGATGTGTACACTTTGAGCGAACATGTACACCTTCGGTACAATCTGGAAATATTTAAAAGTATTTACTAAATCATTACTTAAGGTTCTCAAATCAAAACCAGATTTATTAACTGGTGTAGCAATAGTTAGCATGTTAGACTTTACTGTGAAATATGTCAACCTGTAAATATAACTGTAATGTCAATGTCAAAAATAAATCCGTTTTCTATAAATTTGTAAGAGCTAGTGCGGGTGTCCAAAAGATACGACTTATTTAAGGTCTATTCCAATCTTTGTCCGTAATAACTTAGAATTTCATCTGAAAAAATCTTTGAATCGCATTTCTGCCGAAGAAGTTAGGATTCTGCGAAAAGTGCGAAAAACATCTTAAATGATTTTTCATATAGATCCTTCAAAGTGAACAAAAACCTTGACCCGCTGAAGCGCGTATACGTTAAGTTCTAATGTTCTGAAAAAACTTAAAATTTAGTCCAATAAATCTTTGAATCGCATTTCTCCGAAGAAGTTTGGAATCTGCGAAAAGCGAGAAACATGTTTTAAATGATTTTTCATATAGATCTTTTGAAATGAATTTGAGCGCGAAACGTCACCCACCATATCTTAGACCATTATTTCCACCACGGAATGATGGATTTTTCAAAATGTCCGAAACACCCCTCAAATGAGTTTGAACAAATTTCATTGAAATTGAGTTTGAAGCCGATTGGTAAGCAAGTAAGTGTCAATCAAACGTTTTTCGCGATTTTTCCACAATGTGGAAAAATCGCATTGCATAAGGTAACTAGAGATTACATTTTAGCTTCCTAGCTCCCACGGTTTGGACTGTGCGTTTATTACCTATTAGCCAGTCAGTCAGTCTGGATAAACAGTTTTATACATAGAGATATTCCCGAAAGTCTAATCATTCAGCCGTCTTTTCTATGTTTTGTTGAGGCCCTAATATACTCATACTCCATCTCGATTGCGAGGTTATACCAATGAACCACTAGCTAAGTGTGGAATCGGTTTTTATAAAAGTGCTTAAGCAGTAGGAAAGGGTCAGTCTTGTTTGAATATTCCATATAATCGTTATATGTCTTTAGGACTTTAAGTTATTGATAAAAGTTCCTCACACTTGTTAAAAACAGTATTTGAGGATTTATTTCAGCAATATTCCACGCTAAGGGACTGTTGAGCAAATTTCATGGATGTGAGTTCATTTACGATGAATTGCTCTGGAAGGAATTAAGGTGTCTATTAGATTTAAAAATGTCCACTACCAAGTTTGAATCGCACATTAAATTGGGATTATCAAATCTCTCCAGTGTATAAATTAGCGCTAGAAGACTCAGGACAGTATATAGTTACCACAGTGGTTCTCTATTCACCATTTCTATTAGTGTTTTTCTATATAGGTATTTTATAAAATGTTTTTATTTAAACTAAGGGATTTAAAAAATATATATAAGTAAATATATAACACATTTTAAGAATTTACATATTTTTGGGGTCTTATACTTGGGTTCGGGGTCTCTTCACCCGAATTCTACACATTTACTTAAAAAGGGTATGTAATGTAAAAATGTATCTAACAGCACTAACCATGCAATGCACAGATACACCAAACAGCATATTAATCGTATCACGACTAATCGCAACGAGGGAGCCCAATGGGTGGTGGTGCGACCATTTTAGTGTAAACAGCAAACGTAGTTTCTAGAATAGTTTATACAGGTCAGGCTCTTTTCATTTTATAGCTATCGCCAACCCACACCTCTGCAACATAGCTGTAAATCAATTAAATTCATCGATTGGAACTACCCGCCAATTTATCCCACAATTTTAATGCAATTGTCCTCTTAATATAAGAATAATCTACTGCTGAAAACGTTATTGTGTTTGCTGAAATAAAAGTAGAAGTTATAAACAGGCTACGTGCCACGTGTCAGAAGACAAAAATATTTGATACATTGTTTGACATTGTTGAACGTTCAGTCTACGTTTTAAGGATTTGTTGAAATAGTTTTGTATAAAAATGAAGTATCGGAGCTTCGCTTAGAGCATCTGAACCACATCGCTCGGACAAATAAACTCTTTTCCAACGTCAGTTACATTGTAACAGGCCGCGTTACAAAGCTTGCAGTGCCGTTTACGAAAATAACAGTATCTTCTGGAGCAAGATTAAATTAATAGAGGAAGTTGCCTCTGCATTTCTCAACTAGACAATTAATCGATTAAGAGCAACTTTATTTTAAACAGCAAGCAAGTAATGGCGGCAAATTATCACATAAGCATATACTATAAAACCCATAAGTACATGTACAAAACTGTAAACACAACACGTAGCAAGCCATTGCCATTGCCAAGAAAACATGACCCTCTAAATCAGACATTAAAAACTAAAGACCTATGCTCCCATCATAGAGCATCCACGCATAATTGCTAACGCAGCTTAATCTTTCGCTAACGAAAGACACTCAACGATGTTGTAATATTCTATACGAAAATCTCATACAATAATAACTCAATACTCGTTTTCCCAAAGTTTGCTAAGAGTCTACAACAGCTGAAGCCTGAATGAACAATCTTGACACGCGACCGAATGAGTGTCGCAACGAAGCATTATCCAACTGATATCTTAACATCTGATAAGTTTCTTAGAAAATAAAAAAAATATATATTTTATACAGTAACTTATTTTACATGGCGCAAATCATCAAAATCTAAAAAAAAAAAAAGCGTGCGTCAGGCGCGTGCCAATAATGATATGTATTTTCTTTTGCGCCCATGATCAGCCCATTCACAGACATTTGTATGTGTGTTTGTGTGTAGAGGTCCAAAATCAGAAATCCTTAAATCTTGTTAAATTTGCATCGGGGACAGGCAGGCAGGCAAGCAACAGGCACACAAGCGCATAAATCCTTTTATTCATATACAAAATATACAAGTATGCGTGAATAGCGAGTCCAAAATATTTTAAACGCACACATGGCAACGCTTGGGTACCCTTACCAACAATAGCGAACTAAAATGCCAGAATTTTGCATCGACGTGGCAAACCCTTTCTCTATTTCATATTGCTCGTGCCTTCAAAATGGTAGAAATGCCTCAGCATTTAGGAAAAATTGAATTTTTACGCAGTTTTGCTTGTCGGACAAATACACACACACACACATTTAAACGATCCCTAAACATAGAGAGAGCATTGAGAGCTGAGAGTAAGTGCGAGCGAAATAAAAGTTAGCCACGTTGCCGTTCTATCGCACAAATCATATGGAAGAGAGTGCGCCAAGCACTTTCCTGTAGAGTAAGCGGTTGTGACAACGTTGTTTGTATGTGATGTCCAGTCTATATGTTGTTTGATTAGTGGTATAACGAAACATTTAACGGAGTTACGGTTTTAGCACAAAGGGACGGATCAAATATTATGTAATATAATGTATTCTCGGCGAGGTGCAAGCTCAAACCGTAAAATTAGGAGGATGTTTTTTGTTTTTGTTCGTTATACATTCACTCCTTAAGTAATAAATGTATGTACATTCTGAAATTAAATGCGTATTTATGATTAATATTAGATGGTGTAATCAATGCTCAATTTTGTTTCTTATTCATTTATAATTAATTAATTAAACCTTTGAAAATGATTTCTCTTATTTTAAAATACATATATACGTTCTATACCTATGCTTTATATGTGAATGAATATGTTAATTTTTATCACAGATCAATAAAAGCCCACGAAATAGACCCTTTTCAGCACTGTCACTTTCAGCGCACGTGATTAAAAAATTGTGTGCTCTATACATTAATATTCCTCTATATTTATATTGCTAAAATGCGATAAAATAAAATATATTATCTTCAAGGCTGAAAGACATGTGTTTCTCACAATAAATTAAGTAGCGCGCTCATTTTTCTATGTATATGTCGCAGTGTTGTTATTTTCTTGTGGCTGGTCTGCCATGTTGACACACAAACTTTAAGAGTAAAGCGAATTCCAACCGGCGTGTTCAATAGTCTGCCTAAATCTGCTCGCATCTTCTACTCACTCATCGATATATGCTTCTTTACACACGCAAGCTGGACTACACTCGGCGTCAGCGCGACAACGCCGTCCCCTCACTCGTACAGTATTTTGGCGCCATATTCTAAGTTGTAGTCAAATGGAACTTTGCGTCGCTTCGTTTTCGAAGTACATTGAGCGAAAAAGTTTAGAACTTACGAACATTTTGTGTACTGAGGTTGGATGCACAGACAATGTGTATTTCTAAGTCGATGCAAATATTTACATAATTTCTTTAAATTAAATTAATATTATTTTTATTCTCCAATTATGTCATATAAGAGTGCTAAAAAATACAGTTACATTTCAAGTCGACCCGAAGGTCATATTTAGTTACGACCCCATTATAATTATAATGACCTCCTCGTGGTGTTCCCTGCGTATTTTGTGCTTTATAATTCGAACAAAAAATAGTAACATAAGAAAAATAAAAATTAATTAAATGTATCTTTGAAAACAACAAATTTGCACTTTTATTTCCTTAATTTATTTTGTATTACTTAAAAATAATAATAATTTAATAATTTCAAATATAAAAAATTACTTAAATATTTGCATCATCTTAAAAATACAATTTTTTTTTGTACGGAGCCAACCTCAGTACACAAAATCGTCGTCGTGATCTGCGCTAAAAAACTAAGAAAATTGTTTCTTTGCCAGCCAGAGACTGTGCCAGTTAATTCCAAAGTTTATTAAACGATGAAAAAAATATAATTTTTAGGGAAGCAAGACTTCCTTTATTTGATGTTAATTTGCAACTGAATAAACTTAAATCAATTCTAGCCCTAGTAACCTGTGGCTTAGCGGCAGCGGCGTTGGCAGCGGCGTCGTTGCTGATGTTGTTGGCCCGTTGGGCAATTCTTCTTGGAATTTTCGGCGGTTGCCTGTCGGCGCGTGGAGGAAATGGCACAGACACCAAGTCAGCATTTTGCTGCACTTCTTATGAGGTGTTGCAATGCTTCTTATTGGGACTGTATGAAGTTATTTGTTGTTAACTCTTCCCCCTTTGATTTAAGCTTGTCCTCAAGCGATCATCGAAAGAAAGGTATGTTGTTGAACCTGAAGGTTGTTGACATCTGTATTTTGTATTTGGAAATGTGCTGGTTCTTTTTTGGGTCTCTCTTGTTCTTTGTTCAGTTGCAGTATTATATTTTTCTTATTTTTCTTCATTACGTGTAATACA